TACTGAGAAGAAAAAGTCTTGGTGGAGAAATTTGGAGTTTAAAAAATATGAACGCAGGTGGCAAAAAACAAGTATGATGCAATATCCTAAACATGCAAAGACAAAAAAACAAATGCTACAGAAAAACGCTACAAACCAAAAATGCTTGCTATCACTGAAAATGGAAGCAAAAACCTAGTATCCACAAAACAAATGCAAGCAAAATATGCTGCAACCACAATCATATTGCAATCGAAGAAAGAACAAACCATATCGGGCCAGAGTGTTACTTATTAAATGTTGCGTGTTTTGAAGTTTTCATGTAACACTTTTTTGCTGCTGGTTCTGTCATTTACTGCAGGTTTGCACCTGCCAGCCGCTCTACTTCAATGACCTTTCTATAAATGGAGAATGTGTAACAACGTGCTTGTAATACTGGACCTTAGAGCAGCAATCAACATCGTTAATCACTGTTCTAATAGAGCATCTGAAAAGCTGCGAGGGCCACTCAGGTACAAGACTTTGCGTTTCAAAGGCGAGATGCTGCCAAAAATTACTTACAATACGTCTTGCTGCCTCAAAGGTCTTGGTTATATCAGGTAGGTGTAATCCAGCTTTTATTGCTAACTGTAGTGTGTGCTCTACTAAGGCCATTGAATAAGCCAATAAAATACCAGTTTGATTGCTGCACACACATCACCATGCAGAACAGGGTTGGGTTGGGTGGAGGCAAACTTTGAGTTGTCCAGATGTAACTTTAATCCAAAACATACCTTCAAAATAATACAGATTTGTTTGCCCACTTATCAAAAGACCACTATTTATCAACTTCTAAAGTTAAGAAGAAACCCTAATGGAAACTGTTGTGAGTTCAGAGTGTTTTCGTGCAAAAAAATAAAAAATAAACGCTTGTACATAATCCCATTTGAAAAATCAAATGCTGTTGTCAGCAGTACCTGCATGCCACAGATCGGGTCTTCACAGAGATAGACTCCAGGTGATTGTCCATCCTGCAAGCTGCCTGTGGCAACTTCAGACAGCAAATCCTTTAGGTTTTCCTCCTTTCCCCAAACCTGAACACAAACAGGTGTATTGACAAAAGTTTATAACATCTCATTTTCTGTCACCATATTTAAGTTGGGGCAAAACTTCCCATAATAGAAAGTTAAATTTAATGTTGTGCATGTTGCAGACATAACTAAAATATTAACATTTAGTTCCATCCAATCTCTGGTTGCTTTGGATCAGACACAGGTGTTTGAGTAGGATTTTTACATTTTTTTGTAGACATTACAATAAATATATCTGTATAAAATAGTACCCATGTTTCTTTCACATATTTGTATTTCATTAAGGAGAGCCTTGGCACTTATTTTTTCCACTTAATGGATCTTTTATTTCCAAGTGGATCATCAAAATAAGGGTCCTCCAAATTGTCAATCATTCTGGTGAGATGTCTAAGTAGGACCGTCCTATGTGCTCGTCCCCATTTAGCTATCTTTTACTGCGCACTGTGCACTTTCAGGCTTATATCTGTGGTGAGCCAAGGTTTCAGAAAGTCATTGAAGCTCACCTTTCTTACGCGGTTCTTTGAAAATGGCCAAGTGTCATAATAAAAAAGTGTCTAGGGAGTTTATGAGAAGAAAAGAAAAGCTACACAAGAGAAGGATATATCCCGGAATGCTTTGCACAGAGAGCTCTCCATGCAAAGCATTATGGTATTTGCTGTCACCATAGGCTGTCGCTACCTGGAACTGGTGACTAATAACAAAGATGGTGCAAGCAAGGTGCGGTGGAAGAGCAGTTACGAGACCAACGAGGAGGAAAATGTAGTGATCATCTGTCCGAACGGTAAGTTAACTGAGTTTGCTATAAAGTCCACTACATAGCCCCCCCTCTATATAGTGATTAAGGGATTTAGGGGTTAGAGCAGACGTTTGGGCACAGTAAGGTTGCATGAGCTATGAAAACAGCAACTTTTAAACAGAGCTTGCATGTAGAGAAATGAGCTTGTGCATGCTCTCCCACGCATTTAATAAGACGTTCCCTCTAGGGAGTGGGTACAGGGTTATGCATTTGCATTTATCCTCCACGATTATAAAGTTTGTTTTAATATAAAAGCTTAAAAATGTAAAATTGACAAACTGATGACATTGACCATAAATCTATTCAAATTAGTCTTTGAACAAAGCAGACTGCACACTTTTTAGATGTATCAGTGATGTTTCAATTAACAGATGAGATCTTCTCCTCACTCACCTCCACAGCAGAGACACGAACAGAAAACCGTGCTCCTGTTTTCTCCTTTCTTTCATTGATGAGTTTAAACAGCCATGAGATGGCACAGGGGATTATACCCAGGGTCTGAAGAGAGTCATCACGCCCAATCATTGTGTACGATTTTCCTGGATGACACATAAAAAGACAAAAGGAGAAGAAGATCATAAACCTCCATCCCCTGGTGGAAAATAAGTAAGAAAAAGGTGAAAGAATGAAATATTTGTCTGTGTGGATCTGAGTCTTCTCTTGTCGCAGGGCGATGATTATCCACCTCCCACACCTGCTGAGGCTGTCAGAATCAGGAGATCAAACACGCACCTAAACAAAGCCATATGTCATAGCTAACAACGGCATATGTGAAAAACAGAGGACATCAAAGGCTGACTCCTGCAATGCTGCGTAGAGAAATGTTTTCCATTTGTTCAGAATGAGGATGGAGGGGAGGCTGTCAGCTACGCTGTGATTTTACATTGTTCTCCCTCAGTGACTCCTGAAGCATTTATACTGAAAACACCAAACCACTGCATGAAATGTAATGAATATGATATAAAACCTGAAAGAGACAAATTATAAAATGTCAGCTTTTATTTGGAGTAGCAATTGTATATTTCACATTCGGGACATTTTTTTTTTTTATAAATAAAACCAAAGCACTGCTGTAAAGAAAAGTTAGATTTAAACAACTTCACTACCACTGATTTGATGAATCAAATGGATTTACTTCATCATAGTGTTTTTATCTAACCCCCCCTTCTGTCTTCTTGTCTTTTCCTCTTAGGTCTTATTCTATGGGTCAGAATATGACTATAGCCATTGCATTTGCTGCTGCTTTCAGGTCTTGGTTCTCTGGTTGACTGCTTCAGCGACTAACACAGCTGCGTAGGAATGTTGTACTTCAGGCATTAGCCATGAGTACATTGAGTTGCTTTGTGTTAATGATGCCTCACTATTGGTCACAGTGAAATGAAATACTGCAACAATCACTTCCTTAACAAGGCGCAAAAAATGAACAAAAACAAGCTTTTCTATGACCATTAAGGGCATTCAGCATTAATATCTCTTTATAATTTGCGCATTTTGTTATATGAAAACAAAGAAATGTTCTTCATAAACATGTTATGTGACAGACCGACACTTAGAAGTGCTTAATCTGTAGTGAAAGGAAATATATACATGTAGACTGTTCAAAAATGTATAAATATATGAAAACCTACCTCAGCTGTTCATCTGAACTAAATATGACAAACAAAGAGATAAAGAATCAGAGAACCAGTCCTTTAACAGTATAAAATAGAAGTTTTTTAATAGACCCAAATGACCCTGAAGTCCTCCTCATACAGTCATGGTACAAGTCCTACTAGACCAGGATCTACTAAGAGATGCACAGCATCATCGCCTACGAATCTATTTCCTCAAAATCAAAACTATTAAATTCTCTGCATGATTTAGACAAGGGGCCAATGCTAAATCTATCAGAAAATACAATCTCAAGGAAAAAAATAGGGCCCTTTATGGGAGATAGTTGTAAAATCTCTGTGATCAGTCATAAATTGTGAGATACGACCAAAAACAAAAGTGATGCCAGCCATTAAGTCATATACAGAACCTTGATATCTCTGTCAGGAAAACCATTTTAATTGACTTCAATTCTGACCATGATCTTAATGTTTTGGTTTTAACAGAAACATGGTAACATAAAATGAATTTACTGTGGCACCCATTCCTCATAGAGTCAATGCCTCCGCACAATAAAGTCCTTTGTGAGAGTGGACAGCAAAGGACATGTGGAGAAGTGTCCACATTGTTTAAAGATTCAATGTAGAAAGGTCATGTTTGAATATTTGGCTCTCCAGGTAAAGAAACCGCTCTAAACCATGTGCTTGAATATTTACAGGTCTTCTAAGTCCATGACAAACTTTTTCAGGCATTTCAATTAGTTTTTCTCTCTGACATGTTGAATAGGATTGCTTAACAATTGTGGGACACTTCTACTTTCACATTGACAATCCTGAGTTGAATTAGAAGTATGTGATATCCTTAAAAACTTTGAGTTGATTAAAAACCTTAAACAGCAAATGCACAAACAGAGACCTGTTGGACTTGGTCATGACTGAGGATCTAAACATTTCAATATTGTCTGTAACAGATTTTTCCAATCTGATTATTTTTCTGTTATTTTTAAAAGCATTATTTCCAATGACTCAGTCGGCTAAAGAGACATAGTAAGGAAACACGTCTTTAAGAATTGTGGTACTGAAACATTTAACCTTGTTTATGTATCCTTTTTGTCAGGTGTTTTCCTCCAGGTCATTCTCCAAGGTCCATCTTAGGGATCCTTTTTTCAAATATCTACATGATTCCTCAAATTCAAATCTTAATAAGCGACATACGTTACCATAATTATGCAGATGACACACAGCTGTACATTGCAATGTCACCCATTGACTGTGAACCCATTCAAGTACTGAGGGAAATGTAGAGAGGAAGTCAACGCCAGGATGTACCAAAACTTTTTTCACGTAATTTAAGGCAAAACTGAAATAATAGCTTTGAATCACAGGGAGAATTTTAAAAGTTAGCACAGAGCTTTAGTTAATACAGCTAAAAACCACCAATCTGGCTAAAGTGTGGGTGTAGTCATGGAAATTGACATGAACCTTCAAAAACAGTGACAAAGTTAGCCTTCAACCACCAAAAGTACATCTCCAGGATAAGGTGACTAATGTCTCATCAGGATCCTGAAAAACTAGTTCACGCATTCACCTTCGATAGAATTCATTGCGACAATAGTGTCTTTACAGGTCGGTTTTAGTCTGATTCAGAATGCTGCTGCCCGCATCCTCACCAAAACAAAGAAAGTGGAGCACATCATCCAATCCAAAAAAAATGTTACACTAACTCCGCATTTCTAAGAGAATATACTTTAAAATTCTTCTGTTAGTCAATAAATGGATGAATGGCTTAGCTCAAAAATACATCACAGATTAGCTGTCAGTGTTTCAACCACCCAGCCCTCTTGGGTCTTCTTGTCTACTTTGCATACCCAGAACAAGAAACAAACATGAAGAGGCAGCATTTACTTATGCTTGACAAGTCTGGAATAAGCTCCTATAAAGCTGTAGAAGTGGTGAAACCCTCACTTGCTTTAAATTTAGACAGGAAACGGAAATGTTTAGAGTGGTATTTGACTAGGTTATCTAAACATTATTAGTTAAATTCCCAGTCTAACTTTTTTATATATTTCTTTTATTATTTTTATCCTTTTCCTTATACCGTAATCATCTTATTTTAATGTGTAACTTTTAATCTAACTGTTTTTGTCACCTCTATTCAACTGTAATGTACCTTTCTTTTTTTTTCCTCATGCACAGCACTTTGAATTGTCTTACCACTAAAATGTGCTATATCTTGCATTGCCTGAATTCTATTTAAATGCATTTAGGTTTGTGGCTGCAGTGTGACGAAATGCCAAATATTCTACAGGTATGAATAATTTGCAAAGCCCTGTAGATGATGTTAAATAGAAAAAAAAACATGATATTTGGCTTTAAAATCAACATTATTGCAATATAACGCGTTTATTAATGCCAGAATATTGGACTTTTTCAACATAAACAATTTTTTGTCTGTAAAAATGTTAAGTACCAGTTGACTTTATCTTACCCCGTCATAAATACACAGCCCAGGGCTTCTGGGCTGAAGATAAACACTCTTTGTGCTACGTTCAACATTTTAATTAGTAAAAAGGTAATTTCATTATAATGCAGCACTATTAAGATTCATGGCCTTGGGTGAGCTGGTAAAGAAGCAGTTTTCTTTAAGCCAAAACCATGCCTGGTCATAGTAATAAAACTAAAATTGATTCAGAAATTAATCAACAAAAGTTATATTTTTTAAAGCATATAAAAGTGCCAGCAGAGCCATTTACAACTGTGCTCTGGAGATTAGAGGTCACATTAGATCCAGATATAGTCATACATTGCAGAATGATTGCTGTTTCTAATTAATTATAACACACTTTCTATATTTTTTCATTTCAGTTAGAAAATTCATTTACCTCAAACACTAATCTAGATAAACTGTCCATTATAATTCCTCCAGTTTCATAGAATTAGTTTAGCACACCTCAGTCCATCACAAAACAATAGGTAAACATAAATACACACATACATACACTCCTGAAGTCAATTTAAAGTCAGGAGTTAACCTAGAGGACACCAGGGTGATTATTGGGGGTACGGTGTTTATTTGTGAAAAGTTATGATTTTTACATTTGGCTCTGCACATCTTCCAAATACCTCTACTTTTAGTTAATCACTTGAAAGAATATTCACCATAACTCCAGGGGAACGTCAACAAATGTTTGAGCAAATAAAGGATTGACTATTGTGTTCTTTTTGCTCAGTAGTATATTTTAGCGGCCAGTTTATTTCTCAGTTCTAAGTTAGAACCAATTACCTTAATATTAGCTGGTTATTTGGACATAACTACAGTATTTAGAATAAAAGGACAATCAGAGTAAAAATGCACCATGTCAACACACCAATCAGAATATCCAATCAAGGAATTTGACATGTAAACAGAACTTTAAGAAATCTATAACCATTGTAGCCATTATTCTGAGTTGTTTTGGGACCTCATGGATTAGTTGCTGGTGCTTCTTGGGGTTATTCTTTTAGGCAGGCCAACCCCAGCAACATCTGCTGTACCACTTAAACATGTTCTCCTAAACTGGGGATAAATGCGCTCACTGTGGTAGACTGGACTACTGGAGCCTTTGAGAAGATATTGTAAACCTTTCCAGACTGATTGAGATTTGCTCTGTTTTTAATCTGTATTTGGATTTGGGGGTGAGAGAGAGAGAGATGTCCTCACTACCATTTCAGGTTGTTTAAGGTTTGTATGAAAGTGAAATTAATATTTTAGGTAGTGAGCAAAGTAAAAGACTTACCTTGATGTATTTTTCCATTGTTTTTGCAGAGGTGCTGAACTGCAGGATTGATAAATGTGGACATTGGTGATAATTGCTGCCTCAGCCAAAAGCAAAACGTCTATGTGGAGATCCACTTTCCCAATACATAGTGTTTTAAATGAAGAAATGTGTCTAAATCATGTGTAGAACAAAAAGAAATCACCATTTAAAGCTGGGTACACACTGTAGGATTTTCAAGTCGTGCGAGAATTTTTCAATCGCCTCTTACGACCACCCTCCGATCAGGTTGGGAGGTTGGGAGAAAATCAGTCGCCAGTCATGGGCAAATCGCTGAGTGGACATGTGCAAACAAGAATTCTTCTTCTTCCTCTAAGATGAAAACACAGAAGCATGGCAGGGATGCGAGTGAAATGGAGTTCTTTCTGTAAAACTGACAGACCACAGTAGCCATTTTCTAAGACATGTCTTTGTCCAAATACATTTCTTTTTAGGGCTTTCAGCACACAAAATTGCAAAAAATTGCCCAGGCAGTGTGTTTCTCTCTGTTGAGCTTCATATTCCTCTACTCATTTGGCTTCATATTCCTCTTCTCATTTGGCTTTGACGCGTCCGAGTAGCGCCATCTCACTGCGGAGCTGAGTCTGACGTTATTTTACATACAGTGTGAGCAGGTAGATCGCATCAGAGCGTCGAATGTGAGAGTGTGAGAAAATACATCGTGAGCTGTGAACTTACACTGTATGATAAAACCCAGTGGCTTTATCGTACAGTGTGAGCTGCAGCTGCATGCAACGATTGAAAAATTCGCACAGTGAATGTCCGGCAAAAGCCAAACACGGATTTTTAAACAAAACAAGATCCGGTTGTATCTTTCCTGGGGCCTTAACTGTTGCCACAGACAAGTTGCCCACTGAACAGACACATTTGAAGTTGTGACGATTATAACCTTAGTCATATTTTAAAGAGCCTTATAGGAAACACTAGCTGTGTATCAAGATCACAAAATATCGCTAATAATGCAACTCACAGGCTTAGAGATAAACGCAACAGAAATGACGCAATGTTAACCAATGTGTGTCAGAATGTGTCTTTGCTGGTGATCCTTTTGTTCATGCTGCCACATGTTTGGGTTCAGATTGCGTTGCTGTGTGCAGTCAAGCATCCTGACCCTTTCTAAGACAGCTTCTCTAAAAATCAGCTTCTGGAGGATTAAAGAGCAAAGGAGGAAGACAGAAACACAGCCTGAGCAGACTGAGAAAGCTTTCAGCCCGAGCAAGCACTAATCCTCCTCTGTCTCTGATAGACGAAGGAAAGTCGCCAAGTGAAGGACCGACACAGTGACAGTGAGGCACACATGTGAAGGATGACTCACAAGCGCTCTCACTGTGAAGCTTAGGAATTAGTGTTGGAGATGTTGTTACCTAGCTTTGAGTGTCCAAAGCAGAAGATGCAGCCATCGGCTCCATTAACCACAGACTGGATGACCTCGGCCACTGTTCCTGCACACACCTCCGCCTAGCAACAAGCAGACGATGATGAAAAGGACAAAAAAAAAAAGCTTAAAAAACCCAAACATTTTACTGTATTCATCACCATATTATCAAATTATTATGCAACCTTAACCCCTTTTTTTAAGTTTTTACAGCACTAGTGGCTTTTTTATATTGACATTTGTATGAGAGAGGGGGAAAGACATGCGGGAAAGGACCACAGGCCGGATTTGAACCCGGGTCGCGCACGGCAAGGACTAATGCCTCCACCCATGGGTTGTGTGTGCTAACCACTGTGACACCAAAGCAAACCCTGCAACCTTAACCTTTTGACATTTAATTATGTTCCAACACATAACTTTGGCGTAAAATCATAAGGAGGTAAGTTTTTAAAGCTGTACAATTCAAAGGCTGTTTTGAGTTTGCATCAACTCCCTAGTCTTGTAGAGCCATACATGCTGCAACTACAGGCTAGAAGTCTTGCAAATCTAGAGGCTGGATTTTTGCACAGATTCTTTCAGTTCACAACCTGGATTTTTAGATTCCAATCTAAATCCAGGGGTAGAATCCAGGAGTGTGCCTTGATCTAAACCTTTCCATTATGATTCTAGCTGTATATCTATGATTGTATTCCTGCTGCCAGGTCAGCCTTTATCACAGTCGCTAGCAGGTGCTCCACCAAGGTGGCTCTGCATGTAGCTCAATCCAGCCTATTGTTAACTCAAACCCACTTCATGTCTCTACAAAAATCATTCCCACAGCATGATTCTGTCCCCCTTACGTTTAACCATGGGGGTTGGTGTGTTTAGGATGATACAGGGTGTCATCCAGAATTGTCCAAATAGGCTTTAAAGCTACATTTTGTTCTCCTTTAACCACAGTATGCTCTCATTCATTTTGTCCCTTTCTTTTGTCTTTTCCCTTCCACTTTCCAAATGATCTTTCTTCTGAATTTATTTGCCACACAAAAAGTGGATATCATACAATAAGGCCTGATTGTGCAACTTAAAAAAGATGCTTAGATTTAAATTAAAACAAGCAGCCGTTTTTGACATTACTATTTTATGCATTAAAGCTTTTAAAAGACTCGAAACTGTAAAGGTCGTGTCTTTTTCAATCCAAAACTTATATTTCAAACTTGTCGTTTATGGTAAACTCATAGAAGGGCTCAAAGAAGGTGAAAATGTAATCACAAAGTCAAGTTCAAGTTTTGCCAGGTAATGCAGTGCTTTACAACTAACATATTAGACCCTTTAACATCTAGTCAATAAATTAAACTAACCAGTTGTTTACTGTAGGGATTTTAGGAATGTTTCAGGCACAGTTTTAAGAATTAAAACTGATTATTTGTGTGTTACAGTAGAATTAAATCCAAATCAGTTTCTAACCCCCTTGTTTTCACCTGACTCTTAAACTCACCTGTGATGCATCAGGAGGAAAGGCAGCATCAAAGGTGAACATCTTTGGTGGAACATGATTTGCTCCTGTCCTTTTCTGAGAGGCGGAACTTGTGGCCTGATTTGTTGATGGATCCATGATGGTAATCTGTTTCTTTCTGGGATCTACTTTTAAGAAGGAGCTGGACTCTGCTGCGTCAGACTGAGACATGGGGCACACCCTCACCATCACTTTCACCTGAAGACAAGATGGACAGAGCAGATATTATGACTCATCTGATATAATCTATCACCACAGAAAAGGCTAAGGGTTAATCCAAGAGCATCACCACTAAACAAAATCATAGTTAAAAAGAAAAACAACTTTTTGATTATGTTAAATCATAGAAAAGAGACAACAAATGTGGAGTCCAACAAGGTAGAGAGTAACCAAGCTTAACTTTATAGAATTTATGATGTTTGTGTGCTATGTGCATTGTACTATTCTGATTTCAAACACTTGCTATTATTATTATTGCTCTTTTGTAATATTTTACAAACTATTATTGTTTAAGATCAAAAGATTACTGCAATCTTTCTTCAATTAAGAAGAAAGATTGTTTCAGAGCTTAAGCACTATGATTTGTGTTCTTCTAATATGAGATGGGAAAGATTGTAATGCCTATCTGAGCTTTTTATTTCTTACTCTTATTTGCAAAATTCTTCAGAATTCCTTCTTTCTACACTGCATTTAAAATAACTTGATATCTAAATCTTATTTTCTTTTAATTTTGCAGTGGGATAAATTGTGTTTTTTTTCTCTGTTTTTAGGTAAATTTCAATCCCTTGTTTGATTTTGCAAAGCTTTTAAACAATAAAGTAGAACTTCAATAGAACACATCTGATTATTATAATCCTGTGATACCATGCTGCAAATGACAAAGTGTATTTTTTTTACATGCAAAGGGGTATGTCTGTCTTTGAGTTAAACATTTTTAAGGGTAATTTTAGATTCTAAACATAAAGTGAAATCATGTGAGAGCAAAAAAAAAACGGCATACAATATACAGACACTCAGAATTAAAAGAAACTAAAGCTTTATTGCAGTTTTAAAATGTATTTTAGGAACAATGACTTTCTATTTATAGTTAAGGAAAAAAAATTAAGCTTTTGTTTTTTCCCCATAATATGCTTCTATCTCTTAGCTCATAAATAGCACCAAAAGTTTTTTCAAAGCTCTTCTGTAAAGGACTGCTGGTGGAAAAAAATCTGTTCTCACCTAGGCTGTAACAAACACTTCACAAAGAAGCATTAAACTCTGCTTTTAGCTCTACATGGGTATCTACACGCTTGCGTCCTCGTATTCACCCTGAGTGCTTCCACCTCCCTGATCCCTTCTCCTCCTTCACCTGTCACTCTCCTGTTATCTCTCTCTTCTTCTATCCTTAATCCTTTGCTATTTTTTCCCTATTCATCACAGCTCACTTCTGCACATCAAAAGGCCTGAATTGCAGGAATCCATTTTTAGCTTCCCCTCATCCTCTATCTCCTTCTTACCTTCATGTTTAGTCATAAAATGTTAGCAGTCGCATATCAACCGCCTGACAGGGGCGGTTGTTCTCTTTGATATCAGCAGCAGAGAAATGCTGCGTCATCTAAAAGGAGTGAGTTGCATAACATTCTAAGGTGTAAACAAGTTTTCTTGTTTTTACTGTTTTAAAGTTTGAAAAGTGCCTGAGTTCATTCTAAATCATTACCATCTTTTCCTAGCAGCTACCTTCAAACTTTGTCTTTGTTGCTCGTTCGATTTTGACAGGTATGCACTCTACTGCTACCACCAAGAGTAGTTCATCTGTTTATATTTTACATTTTATCTTACATACTGTCTTTTGCAAGAACTGATTATTTACATCAGCTTATCTAAAGAAAAAAGTTTAGATAAAGTTTGCACTGAGATAAACTGAAGTGAACATGAACTTGTTTCCAATTGTGGTTCATTCTGTTGTTCAACATTTTGTAATTTTTATTTTTTTATATACATATTTGTTTTACCCTTGTGTGTATCTGAATGCTTTGCTGCTATTACACCTATAACAGGTGAGGGCCCTGTTGTCCCATCATCTGCTGGATAGAAGGAAGCTAGGGGGTATTTCTATTTCATTCTAATACAATGTTATAGTTTTAGTAATTAGTCTGGCCTTGGTGCACGTCTTTTAAATCAAGCTTGTTTTATGACTTGTTAATAAAATGTGATCCATTCTACTCCTAAGTCATAACCAAATCTGAGTTCCTGGCCTAAAAAAATCTAAAATAAATCACAAATACAACAGATACAAACCTCACTTCACATGTTGCAAGGGTATATGGGAACAAAGAAATACATTGATTATCGGCATTTAAATGACTTAAAGATTCCTCACTCAGATTCCAGCTTTTTCATTTAACATTTGCCTCATTCTCCCTTAGATATTGCACCAGTTAGCTCAGGTTTGACTGTATTTGTAGATGCAAAGCTTTTACAGTCCCACTATTTCTGTTTAAAGTTTTGAGTTTGATCATTTTGTTTTTAAGTTGTAGATTTCCTGCTCTATTTGGGATGATTTTTTGCTGCATGACCCACTTTTGGGCAACATGTTGTGGGGACTGCAGCGTGTCAGTCTACTAGGTGTTTGTCCTCATATGCTGTAGTCGTATTACATCAGACTCAGTGCTCTGCATTGTAATAAAATATATGTGCAATGTATTTGTTAATCCAAGGAGGAACCATATTCCATAAGGTTCCATATTGTTCAGAAGTTTAATTGTACATAATTGGCTTTGCTGTGCAATTTTAGTGGTGGGATGCTTTCTTTTTTTCTGTTAACAGATTTAAATAACACATACATGTTATGCAAGTCTTTTTTTTTTATTACAAAAATAATCTATCTTCAGTCAGGTGAGCTGTTACATGTCCTATGTCTCCAGAATCTTTAGTGAATGTACATCATGTATATCATGACATGAAATCCACAAAGTATTCAGATAACTGAACAAATCTGCAAAAATAGTTAAAATCTTTACTTCTCTACGGTCATTTTCCACAAACCCTAAAAAACTACAATGATTAAACACCTTTTAAAGGAGCCTAGATATCTGTGTGTCATCAATTAGTTTACAAAAGTAAGTCATTTGTGGTATGTTATCCAACTTAATGCATAATTTTTACTGTGAAGTAGTAATCGCTCTAGTGGGGGTGGGTTTTCTGGTGTCTATCTCCAGGATTCTATAAGTGAAAGGGGGGGTACGCCCAAGAAAGGTTATCAGTCTATCATATGGCAGCAGAGACATGCAAGAATGAACTCACACTGTAAAGCCCTACAACAAACTAGCTCAGAGTACAAGTCCTTTTCAGCTCATAGTCTAGTTTAAATGCTTGTTTCCTATTGTGCATTTATTAGGGGATTGATGGTGACATTTCTTTTTTATATTTTGATACTTAAGTTGTTACATTTCCCTTTTACACTGAGTTTGGATTTTAATGCAAACCAATTATTTAAACTTTAAAGTGTAGTTTGTTGGTTTTAACTGATTATTGAAATTACTGAGGAATATAATTGTCAATGAATGAATGAATGAATGGGTTCATTCTTTTGTGGATTGACTATCTTTGCCACAGAGTTTTATTTTTTCTAACTGATTCAAACAAATAGCTAAACTTATAAATAATTTATTCTGCAGATGATCTATGTTCAAAAGCTTTTTATCTCGATATACAAACAGTATTGAAAAGCAAATCATTATCAGGCCTCTTCCCTGTTTTAACTTCAGAAAGTTTTTCCTGTTTGATCAAAATCTTCTTTGATGATCTGGAATTTTCCAATCAATACACCTGAGAGAGAATAAAAACCAATATAGAAACAAAGCTAATGGAGTCCATTTGCTGTTTGATATAAAAGCTTCAAGAGAAGACTGTTATGTTTATTTCTGAGTATAAAGATGTTGAGAATTACTGAGAGAAAAAAGGTGGCCAGCATTTTTAATCATGCTCTTGCCAGGTATTGATCCTTCTGATGGCATATATTCAGCCAACCTTGTCATCTGTCTGTCTGTCTGTCTCTATAATTTTGATGCCCTCTATATTATTCCCTCCCTTCTTTGCCTCATTTCCTTCCAATCCTCTGAACAAACAAGCCAACTCACCAGCTTTTCTTTTTATTCCTTTCATATCTCCATCATCTCCTCTCACTTTGTGCTGCAGTGAATACAGCTTTAAAAGGGTTCACGCACAGAACAAACTCTTTTAGTTGTTAGTTATTTTCCGTTTCCACAAATAATATTTAGTGTAGATTTTTGCAACTAGCATCTTTACTTTAGATGGATTTGCTTTAAAACTACTCTTACAAATTCTTTAGTGTTCTAAGCTAAAGGCTAAAAGGCAAACCTCTATAAAGACTTCTGCTGAGAAACTGATCTCACCAACATTATGCACCTTTAGATATAGATACTGCTGCTCCTTTTCTCCAGATACCACACTCCCTTAAGATGCTGAGCCAATTTATAATGAGGAAATCAGCTAAATGGCTACAACATGCTCTGAGCCTGGGGAAGTAGGTTCAATAGTCCCCCGCCACAGTGCTTCACTGCTATTGGCTGGAAAATCAATATGAGACTGAAATCAAGCTCTAATTTGTTCCCAAAGACTGTATGAACACAGGCACATTTATGCAAACATATGCATTAAGTTAGATACAAACACCATATAGGAAAAAAAAGTGCACGACTGGGATCAATGCTAATTATAACTATTTATTCCAAGTAGACTTACTGTACGAAAGTATCCGTGCAGAATCCTCTCAGATGGATTTAATTGCACTTTTATGTTTAGGAGTAATTTAACCAAAACCAACCTTCTTTGAGTCATAAGAACACCATCATTTTTTCAAAGTGTGATTGCAGGAGTATGCATCATCTGCTGAATTCAGTTTAGTTGTCAAAAAAGAAATGTTTCATAGCATAAAAAAAACAAAACAAACATATTATCTAATTAAAACCCTACTTCATCATTGCCCTTAAACTGGCATGTTAATAGAAAAACAATTTCAAATGTTCACATTTTCTTGATTTTCATGAATATCAAGAAACTGAAATAGTTTTCCATACTTCTTTTCAAAAAACCTCAACTTAAGTTAGTCAGTTTGAGAGCGTCTGCAAACAGTAATCTTTCCAAAAACTCTCGATTAGAGTCGTTTTGGGTCATTAAAACACATGGATATAATTTAA